AAGGCTTCCCAATGAGTGAGAGGAGAATGTAAGCCAAAGGGCAGCATGACAGACAGGGCCAGGGGTCAAATCCTCGGGAGAAGAGCGCAGTGGACAGCTCAGCGCTGCAGCACTGCCTGGGCGAGACTTGGCGGCACTGTGAGAAACCCAGATTAGCACTAAGCCGATTGCAACGCGAGGTAGGATCAAGAGCAATTAATTTAGCACCCAGATAGTTCCAGGAAGAAGCTGAAAGAACCCTAACAAAACCGGCAAAACTCAAATACTAGCTGACTTAACATTCCTACTTGAGTCTCTTCTCTACAAACAGCGGAAGAATCCTGCGTTAAAAGGAGACTTTGGAAGGTCTGAAAGGGTGGAGGATAAAAGGAAGGATAAAAGGAAAGATGAAGACGCTTGGCTGGGGCTGACATCAGCCAAAACAAGCATCTAAAGAACAGGACATTCTCTTGCAGACAGAAATGGGCCGGCCTGTTCCAATGGGCTCGGAGAGAGCATGCCTCCAACCGTGCGTCACGCGCTTTTATTACAAAATAACATCCTGGTGCATGACTTAAGGGGAAATGTGGATGAACACAGATAATTTATTATCATTCATATCTCTCCTATTTTGCTTAAGATACACACATTTCATAGCAGTTTTTGGTGCTGCATATTAGGCTGATACTGCAGGGTTTGTTATTATTACAGCAATATTTTCCCAGAATCTAATACACACTTGAGACTTTTTCCAACAAAATTGCCATGGTATGCATGTCTGCAGGGATGTTGTGTCCAAAGAAAATCATCACAGCCTTCGGGACATGTGGCTTTGGTTTTTGGAGGTCATTCATGCTTACAACAGTAACTGAATTGTTTAGAGAAAATGCAAGAATATACTTCTTTGTGCTTCGGATTTGATGGCTCGCTAGCTGTGTTTATTACTGGAGAAGCCGGAGTGCCGTTATAGTTTAGCTCATTAATTGTAAATTGGCGAGAGAAAAAAAGTAGTCTGCTCCTCCCACCATGCTTAGCATCTGCCTGGCTGTCTCTCCTCCCTACTCCCTACTTGTACGCCTATTGTGCTACAGAGATCCCCCTTCCCCTACTCTCCACCAACCCCTGAAAACACTCACTGTCAGGCTGACACCAACAGACAAGAGCACCCCCTAGATCCATGAATCCTCATCCACTTCATGAATGAATGCCACTGGGAGGAATATAAATGCTGCAACAGGCACATATATTTTACATGTTAACTGCCAAATAAAGACATAATACCTCAATATACCTATAGTCTAAATATGTCTGCTGGAGAGCCACACAGAACCAAAACAATCCATAACCAACAACTGCTCTTTAGCAAGGCCTCATGTCATTGAGGTAAGCTTCATCAGCCTTGATTTAAGACGGTTCATAGCAGATTAAATACCGCAAATTAGAAATAAAATGTATGACTTATTCCATAACTAATTAAAAATATCAGAATATCAACAGTGGGGTTCTGAAAACAACAATGCCACATATCTTTAATGTGTGATATTGTTCAACCTTATTTATAAAAATACCTTTGCTTGGATTCTTTTTTTATTCTTAACCCATTAACCCATTCCCTGCAAACATCTAATAAATGTAAACAAACATGTTTTAACTGCAGCGGTGGAAGAGTCAAACACATAATACAATAGCATTAAAGCACTCAGAAGTTTGCTCTAGTAAAATTACAGAAGTATTTGCAGCAAAATATACTTAAAGTATCAGAGTAGATTTTTAAATGTTCTTATAACAGACGGCTCCTGTTAAAGCAAAAGCTTGTTGAAGTTTAGAAAAAAATATATCATGCATGTATCAAATGTGCAATAATGCTTTGCTTACAAGTCCAAATTGACACAATTCGTAAATCATTTGTATATGCTTTGGTTTAGGTTGTCATTGATACAATCATGCCAATGAAGGATATTATATTTAATGGATCTCGGTTGTCATTATGTTCACAAGCAGTAGCCACATGTGTTTGTAATATTTTGCATAAATGGTAGATTGTACATGTATTCAAAACGTGTGGATGAATTCCTTCCCACAGTATCTATGTACTAACCTCCTTGCAGCAGTAGAGGGAGCTCCTTTGACAGCCCGCCGAAAAACACTGAAAACGTGGTTGTGCAATGTCTTTGTAACGCTGACAATTCTCAATATGAGCCAGAGGAGGGAGCCAGCTGGTCAATAATGAATCCTTTGTATAGTCATGGTATAGCATGGCACATGGTGAACAAAGTGATTCACTGTCACATTCTTCTACATGTCAAACCTAGCATACAAATGTGTTATATTCATTTGAATTACTCAAAACAGAACATGGTTTGACTCCATAAGGATACTGCAGATCTGTTCTTACTTCTTGGTTTGCATCTTGTTTCCTTCCTGTGCTGAACCTACCAAAAAAGAGATGAGGGCACACAGGCAAGCTCATGCTGCTAGCAGCACATCATTGATGAGCAGTCCCATTTAACTTGACAGTGATATTAGAAGAACTATGGTTAAATTAATTGTGTTTAATTTGTCAAAAATAAAAAAAATCACAGTCCACCATATTGGTTCAGTGTCTTTATTTAAACAGAAGGCAGTAAAAACATGTTTCACACAAGGTCAACATTCTGAGCACTGTTACATATAAATTACATTTAATTAGACAATATCAGGTATACAAATACCTATGCAATAATAGCACTGAAATATAAACAACAGCACTATTTAGATGTTACTTTCATTTCTTTAAAATGGAGAAAGAATGCACTGCCTGCCAAGAGCAACATATTGTTCTAAGGAAATATAAAGTACTTCTTGTTTGGGAAGATAGAGATGTATGCCTCTCAAAAAGGACCATACATTAACAGTGTTGCCTTCTACTTTTAGACAACAATATTGCCATTAACCCAGGGCAAACGTCTTCCCTTCCCTTGTGCTGTAAACAAGGAGAGCTAACCGGATAAATCTATTGTGTAACAAGCTAATGGAATCTCTAAGTCCCTGGAGACAAGATAATTACTTTAACCTATTACACCTAAACTTTAAGTAATCGTTAGATTGAGTAAAAGGGTGGTATGCCTCCAATGTCATATTCACTGAAAAATCAGTTGTAAAAACCCTATTATTGAGTAGACAGCAGGCATATTCTTTCAATAACAGACTAATATCAACGTAGTTAGCTAGCAAAATGGCTTCAACTTCGACGAAGAGTAAGGACTATTGAAACGTATCCACACTTTATATCCTATCACGTTAAAACTAGCAATTTAAAACATACACTGAGCCGCTCCTTATTTTATCAAGGTGCTCAACGTTTGTATTTATTTTCTAAATACGTAGCTATGTGGCCAGTCAAGTTAGCCAACAAGAACATCCCAGACTCCATCTTTCTCAACAAGAAGCATATCGTTGAACACCGCCATGTTGGGCGCTAGAGGAGTCCAACAATGCTAGCTTAGATAGCCTTTATATTTGACCTCGGGGTAAAGTTATAACACAATACAAACCCTATCTGCTGCTATAACAAACACTCTTGTACTATAGCATTAACACCAAGACAAAGGTAGACTAGCAGAACCGGCGATTTACTAAGCTAACGTAGCTATTGCTAGCAACTAGCTGGCCGTTTGGTCCCGCAGCGTTCTTTCCGAGACTAAACCATCCGGGTCCTTTCGCTTACTTTTTTGCATCTTCTGAGCAAAACCCAACTTTCAAATACTATATTTATTCATATGAAAGCCTATCAAGTTAACTATGTATAATAATTGTCCATGGGTACGATAAAAATACAGAAAGCAGGGATCATACCGTCGTTGTCGGCAAAGTAATCATACGTTGAGCTAACCTGGCTCTAATTGCTAAGAAAGCTACACTTGTTATTAAAACTGTCCTCAGCTGGCTAGTATATTAGTTTTAATGATCACAGTTTCGAGTGATTAAAGTTAGTTTCCAATTAAATAATGAGCGAAGTAATGTAACTTAGCGTTAACCGCCAAAACGACAGTATATCAGACTGCTTTCGAAACGTGGCCTACGACAACGTTTATCATTTTAACAAATATATTGAAAATATAACAACAACTGAACAAAACAATTACATATATGTTACACGCATAACATGTTCATATACAATTCGTGAAAAACTGCTGGAAAACAAATGTAGAATGAACACTTAAGGCTTCCCCCAGTCTTTCCTATAGGGCGTACGGAAAATCCATTCGACTTGCCGGACACCATTCGGAGGAGAGTCCGAGGCTTGAGACAAAGTCCCATAGATCCAAAATTGCACAGGACGGAAAACCCAAGAGTCGATGTGTTTCTAAAGTATGTCGAAAATAATCCACGATGCAATGTTTCGAGATGGAAATATCATGTATTTCGACCATTTCCCCATGTGTAATCAAAGGTCTTAACAGGCCTCAGCCCTGAGCCTCTTTTCTTAGAGCCCAGGCTGATCTACAGCGAGACGAACGGGAGAACAGAGATTTTTTTTATTTTTGCTCAGAGGGAAGAAATTCACATCGGCAACATTCGGCCACCATCGGAAGCAGGGCGGGTTTTGTTGAAATTATTCTAAGAAGGTTCATTTCTTCGTAGCCATTGGTCATCGCTTTTCAACTACTCAATATTAATAAGACAACGGACGAATAGAAATTATTTAAGTTGAATATTCACATTTTGCATGCAAATTAGACATCGCACCGCCTACTCCGTTTTAATAAAGCCAATCGGGGTGAGTTTAGATTAAATCAACGCCCGCCTTTATTTGTGATTCGTTAAAAAAATAAACGTGCTCTGTAATTGGCTGTACGTGTGGCAACATTAATTATTCATGTGACTGCATTGAATGGCCAATGAGCGTTTTACTACAGAGATCCATGTCCCACCTACCAAAGAGTCAGCCCCTGTCTTTCTGCCTGTGCAACCCCGTAGTAGGCACTCAGTCTATAAAACCAAACGTTGGAGCGCTTCATGTTCAGAAGCGCTAAGAGCGCTCCAGAGTCTAGACCTTAAAAGGGAAGGGAGCAGTCGGTAGCCATCTTACTTAGGACCAAAACACAAATATCTCGACTATAAAGGCAACCGACAACAGAGGTCCCTGGGATATCGCCTTCGGAGACTTTCCGGTCACCGTTGGCGGCCTGACCAGAGTCGTGGTGACAATTTAAAGACTGTTCCTGCTCACAAAGCGGCGTGCCGAGGAAGGACGCGTCTCTTTGAATAGACAGGATGCATGGACCGCCCTCCGGCGACAGCGCATGCCCATTGCGCACGATCAAGAGAGTTCAATTCGGCATCATCAGCCCAGATGAGCTTGTAGGTTTTCTTTTTGGGGGGGAATGGGGTATTTTAATAATTTTCGTTTAGATCACACACCACTCTTACATTTGCTTCATTGATCTTGTAGTTTAACATATATGGCAAAGACATGGTTCTGTTTACGACGTGAAATACTCGCTGTTAGCCTAGCTTAGCTAACTAGCTGTATCAGGCTGGTGGAGCTTGTGCTAACTAGCATGTTGCAGGAAGTTTGAAAACTTAAAGCACAACATTCTCAAAAAGTATACATGCTATCACATGAATTAAACCCCCTTTTAATGTATTCAATGTACCTTGTAGGCCCATCAGTAAGTAGACATTTTGCTTACTTTAATGCTTTCAGTTATATAGACATGGCTCGCTTGGTTTTACCACTGATACACCGCATTGTACTCGCTATAAACGAATAAAAGGGTACTTCAACAATTTTCGATATGCATGTTTTCTTTAATTTAAGATGAGGTGTTGTTGTAGTTTTAGGCATTAATGTATACTAGATTAGGAATGCAAATGTAATTGAGCATACCATTTCATATAATGGTAAAAGTTTATGTTTACAGAACTGTATTTTTCCTCGGTTTTTCTGTGAATTTAACGTTTTAAACACTATATGATGTTTAAAAAAATATTTTGTACCTGATTTCGATTAATGCTTGACACAAATAAATATTTATAACATGTATGTGCAGAGGTATTTTTATTTTATTATAGGCAGTAGGTGATCAACTTCAGATTATTGTCAAATGTGTAGCATCAACTATGATGTGTTTGTCTGCAGAAACGGTTGTCCGTTACGGAGGGGGGTATCAAATACCCCGAAACAACAGAAGGAGGACGTCCTAAAATGGGTGGCCTTATGGACCCCAGACAAGGGGTCATAGACCGATCTGGGCGATGTCAGACATGTGCAGGTATAATGTCATTTTAGCACTTCCTACCAAAATATATGATCAGGTGGCTGCTGTCCTTAACTGGTGTCATTAATCATAATAATATAAACATGCTTTTTGTTTCCTCAGGCAACATGACAGAATGCCCTGGCCACTTCGGGCACATAGAACTGGCAAAGCCAGTCTTCCACGTCGGCTTCGTAACAAAGATTATGAAGATTCTTCGTTGCGTCTGCTTCTTTTGCTCTAAGCTTCTAGTGGATCCAGTAAGTACATTCAGTATTTATCTGTACGTTATGATGATAATCTACCCATTTTAATCCAACAAAGTAAGATTTCCGTGTTGTTCATAGCTTTTCTTTTTGCTTTTATCTCCAGACCAATCCAAAGATCAAAGACATCCTAATAAAATCTAAAGGGCAGCACAGAAAACGTTTGACACATGTATACGAGCTGTGCAAGGGAAAAAACATCTGTGAAGGAGGAGAGGAGATGGACAACAAGTTTGGAATGGAACAGCAGGATGCTGAGGAGGACCTTACCAAGGACAAGGTATTTGGGTTTAATCTTGTTATCATTGTTAATGGGCATCTTGTCTCAACATTTACGTCACTGTCCAAAATATTCTCGTTCTCACTTTATTTTATCCAACCATGTGACTTACGCAGGGTCACGGTGGCTGTGGGCGTTACCAACCCCGCATCAAACGCACCGGCTTGGAGCTGTACGCCGAGTGGAAGCACGTTAACGAGGATTCGCAGGAGAAGAAAATCCTGCTGAGTCCTGAACGTGTGCACGAGATCTTCAAGCGCATCTCCGATGAAGAAGACGTCATCTTGGGCCTGGACCCCAAGTTTGCCCGACCAGAGTGGATGATTGTAACGGTGTTACCTGTGCCTCCCCTGGCTGTCAGGCCTGCTGTCGTCATGCAGGGCTCTGCTCGAAACCAGGTAAAGCAATAGGATCACAGACAGATTATTTTTTTCCTGCATGTTTAAGTGATGTAAAAAAATGTGATTAACAATGAATCATCCCTTAACTTGTGTTCTAAAGGATGACTTGACCCACAAGCTGGCGGATATTGTCAAAATCAACAACCAGCTGAGAAGAAACGAGCAGAGCGGCGCTGCGGCTCACGTCATCGCTGAGGATGTCAAACTGCTCCAGTTTCACGTAGCCACCATGATTGACAACGAGCTGCCAGGTCTGCCAAGGGTATGTATGCAATTCCTCCAGCCCTGTCTGACCATTTCTGTGTTTCCATGGTGCTTATTTTACTATATATTTTTTCTTTCACAGGCAATGCAAAAGTCTGGCCGTCCTCTAAAATCCCTTAAACAGCGTCTAAAGGGGAAGGAGGGCCGAGTCCGAGGTAACCTCATGGGTAAGCGTGTGGACTTCTCCGCCCGTACCGTCATCACGCCAGACCCCAACCTGCATATCGACCAAGTAGGCGTGCCTCGATCCATCGCAGCCAACATGACCTTCCCAGAACTCGTCACACCCTTTAATATCGACAGGTACTGCCGTGTAGAGAGCAGATTCAACTTCATGTAATGTGGGAGAACCTGTATTCCAAATGATGGAAAGTGATGTCATCTAATTAATGTCCGTCTTAGATTACAAGAGCTGGTACGAAGAGGCAACAGCCAGTACCCAGGAGCCAAATACATCATCCGGGACAACGGGGACCGAATTGACCTTCGATTTCACCCCAAACCAAGTGACCTTCACCTGCAGATCGGCTACAAGGTAAGATCCAAATATACCTATAAACTACTGCATTTTTTTGTTGGATGATTTAAAAAATATCCTTTAAATCTTCTCACAGACTAAACCTGTTTGAATTTGTTTCTTATTCAGGTTGAAAGACACATGTGTGACGGCGACATCATCATCTTCAACAGACAGCCTACACTACATAAAATGTCCATGATGGGGCACAGGGTCCGAATCCTGCCGTGGTCAACGTTTCGACTCAACCTCAGGTACCAGATAAAAACCACACATCCCTTGTCTTCCTTGAAATATACAGTAACCGTAATAATAATAATTGTGATTTTTTGTTTTAATTGGGTCTTTATACAAGTTCCTGTCACTGTTACATTGTCCTTTTACTGAATTATGCTGTAGCTGCTCTTACATCCCATTCTCTCCTCCTCCCTCCAGTGTGACCACCCCATACAACGCTGACTTTGACGGGGATGAGATGAACCTCCACCTGCCTCAGTCCTTGGAGACGAGGGCTGAAATCCAGGAGCTGGCCATGGTGCCGCGTATGATCGTCACCCCCCAGTCCAACAGGCCCGTCATGGGTATCGTGCAGGACACCCTCACAGCCGTGCGCAAATTCACCAAGAGAGACGTTTTCTTAGAGAGGGTAAGGGGATTGTTACAAGATCACCAGCTGCGTCTTTCTCCGCCTTGAAAGAGGTTTAACACGCTGCGTTTGTCCACCACAGGGGGAGGTGATGAACCTCCTCATGTTCCTCTCCACCTGGGATGGAAAAGTGCCTCAGCCGGCCCTCCTGAAGCCCCGCCCTCTGTGGACCGGGAAGCAGATCTTCAGCCTAATCATTCCCGGACACATTAACGTGATCCGCACACACAGCACCCATCCCGACGAGGAGGACAGCGGCCCCTACAAGCACATCTCACCCGGGGACACCAAGGTACTTTCCCATGCATTATCATGTATAGGTGAAACGGGGGGGGGGGAAATGGACGACAAGTGACCTCATGGTGAACTCTGTCACACACAGGTCATAGTGGAGAATGGGGAGCTGATCATGGGCATCCTGTGTAAGAAATCCCTGGGAACCTCCGCCGGCTCCCTCGTCCACATCTCGTACCTGGAGATGGGCCACGACATCACCAGACTCTTCTACTCCAACATTCAGACTGTGGTCAACCACTGGCTGCTCATCGAGGGTACGTGAGCACACCATTATTGCTGTATGACAACTGATTGTTTTAAGGAGTTTTTGCAACCAAACCTTCAAATTTAGTTTTCCCCTAAAATTGATGAGTATACTCTTGATATTCTCTCCAGGTGCTTCTATTGGTATTGGTGACTCCATTGCTGATGCCAAGACCTACCTCGACATCCAGAACACCATCAAGAAAGCCAAACAGGATGTGATAGAAGTAAGCACAACATTTCTAATTTAACCGGATTTTCAGCAGAAATGACCAACAGAAATGTTAATTATTTCCTTTGCCTTTTTGTCTGCCAGGTCATCGAGAAAGCCCACAACAACGAGCTGGAGCCGACCCCCGGTAACACTCTGAGGCAGACCTTTGAGAACCAGGTGAATCGTATCCTGAACGACGCTCGTGACAAAACTGGATCCTCCGCCCAGAAGTCTCTGTCTGAGTACAACAACTTCAAGTCCATGGTGGTGGCCGGGTCCAAAGGCTCAAAGATTAACATCTCACAGGTACAGGAAGCCCTCCTTTTCCCATCTCCTAGATGAGTGACCGCTTTGATTTACTCTAACATCTCTTATCTTACCTCTTTATCCAGGTTATCGCCGTGGTGGGGCAGCAGAACGTGGAGGGTAAGCGAATCCCCTTCGGCTTCAAACACCGCACGCTGCCTCACTTCATCAAGGATGATTACGGTCCTGAGAGCAGAGGCTTCGTGGAGAACTCCTACCTGGCCGGTCTGACGCCCACTGAGTTCTTCTTCCACGCCATGGGAGGCAGAGAGGGTCTTATCGACACAGCCGTCAAGACAGCCGAGACTGGTGAGTGTGGAAGGACACGAGTCAGGATAGGCTTCATAAATATACAGGGAAATGTTTTTTTTTAACATGTTACATCTTTTTTATCCCACCAGGTTACATCCAGCGTCGTCTGATCAAGTCCATGGAGTCGGTGATGGTGAAGTACGACGGCACCGTGCGTAACTCAATCAACCAGGTGGTGCAGCTGCGCTACGGAGAGGACGGCCTGGCAGGAGAGAACGTGGAGTTTCAGAATGTGGCAACGCTCAAACCCTCACACAAGGCCTTCGAGAAGAAGTATGTCAGACATCGTACACTCGGAGAGCATTTTCACTTGTGTTTGTATATCATTGAGGTAGAGAGTTATGGTCCCAAACATGGCGTACGTTTCTCAACTATGTAACAACATATTTTAATTTAATATTAACCATCTTGTTCTCCTTTTTTGTCTCTAGGTTTAGGTTTGATTGCACCAATGAGCGAGCGCTGAGGCGGATGCTGCAGGAGGACGTAGTTAAAGACGTGTTGACCAATGCCAATGTGCAGAGCTCTTTGGAGAAGGAGTATGACAGGATGAAGGAGGACAGGGAGGTCCTCCGAGCCATTTTCCCCACCGGGGACAGTAAGGTGTGTGTTCTCTCCTGTAGACATGCTACTGCTTTTTACACCTCTTGTTCTGCCAAATCAAAAACATAATCATATAACGCAATTCTCACCCTTGCCTTCAGGTTGTGCTGCCATGCAACCTGGCCAGAATGATCTGGAACGCTCAGAAGATCTTCCGCATCAACGTTCGGACCCCGACAGACCTCAACCCTCTGAGGGTGGTCGAGGGTAAGCTAAAAAAATAACAAACCTTGTGCAACATGTCACCACTCTCTGTTCGTTCTTCCTCTCGTTACATTAGCTGTTGACTTACACAGCCAAGTTGACACTCAGTTTCCTCACCACATATTAAGTTACAGGATTTTGTGAACTGTGTAGAAACACCTGCTGTAGATTTTAGAAATGGTGGACTGAGCCTGACCTTGGGTGCACCTTTAAGCCACTTTAAGCCCACTGGTGGATCCTCATGTGTTTACATAACAGGAAAAACACTTCACGTCCATGTCGCTAAGCTAGAGAGAGAATTGTATTGAGGTACATCTCAAATATAACGTTGTCTTGGAGAAAGAAATATGATTTATTGCCTCATTAAAAGTGTTTATGCTAGTGCACAATTTGTATAGCTTATGTTCTGTATTTATTTAGATGATATAAAACGACCCCAGGAAGCTGTATCAATGTAACCAAAAGTCTGAATCTGTGTGCTCTCTGCTTCTCCAGGTCTTCAAGACTTGAGTAAAAAGCTGGTGATCGTGAACGGCGAAGACCCGCTCAGTCGACAGGCCCAGCAGAACGCCACCCTGCTCTTCAACATCCACCTGCGCTCCACCCTCTGCTCCAAGCGCATGACGGAGGAGTTCCGCCTTTCCACTGAAGCCTACGACTGGCTGCTGGGAGAGATCGAGGCCAAATTCAACCAGTCCATTGTAAGTTCAGCGCCTTAAGAGTTCACTGCTAGACTTTGGGAGATTTCTTCGTCAATTGACCTCCGTGTTTTCCTCCGTTCCCAGGCTCACCCAGGAGAAATGGTGGGCGCTCTGGCTGCTCAGTCTCTGGGAGAGCCCGCCACCCAGATGACCCTGAACACTTTCCATTACGCCGGTGTGTCCGCCAAGAACGTAACACTGGGTGTGCCCCGTCTAAAGGAGTTGATCAACATCTCCAAGAAGCCCAAAACCCCCTCGCTGACCGTGTTCCTGCTGGGTCAGGCGGCCCGTGACGCCGAGAGGGCCAAAGACATCCTCTGTAGGCTGGAGCACACCACACTGCGGAAGGTGAGCGACGGAATGAGATTAAACAAATTCGCCTGACAACTTACTTTTAAAAAAGCAGTGACTAAAAGCTATTCTTTCTACTCAGGTGACGGCCAACACCGCCATCTACTACGACCCCAACCCCCAGAACACGGTGGTGGCCGAGGACCAGGAGTGGGTGAACGTCTACTATGAGATGCCCGACTTTGACGTGACGCGCATCTCACCGTGGCTGCTGCGTATCGAGCTCGACCGCAAGCACATGACCGATCGCAAGCTGACCATGGAGCAGATCGCAGAGAAGATCAACTCAGGTGGGTGGTGTGCAGATATGACGTTTATTTTATATAAACTCAATGGCTTTTTCTAACAACCCCTTTTTTTTTTTACCTCGAAGGTTTCGGAGATGACTTGAACTGCATCTTCAATGACGACAATGCAGAGAAGCTCGTTCTGCGAATCCGAATCATGAACAGCGACGAGAACAAGTTCCAAGAGGCGAGCACTGATTGGATATTCAACGAAAATACTGGCACTGTGGTTGGCTTTATTTGTAATCATGAATATTTGCTTGTTCTTCTAGGACGAGGAGGTGGTGGACAAAATGGATGATGACGTGTTCTTGAGGTGCATTGAGTCCAACATGCTGACTGACATGACCCTGCAAGGCATTGACCAGATCAGCAAGGTAGACCCCCACCCACCCTCAGTCATTGGTAACAAAAGGGATGTATACCTGCCTGTGGCCATGAGTCAAACCTCCCTCTCCTCTCCTCCAGGTGTACATGCACTTGCCCCAGACTGACAACAAGAAGAAGATCATCATCACGGAGGAAGGTGAGTTCAAGGCCCTGCAAGAGTGGATCCTGGAGACGGACGGTGTGAGCCTCATGAGGGTCCTCAGCGAGAAGGACGTGGATCCCGTCAGGACCACCTCCAACGACATCGTGGAGATCTTCACGGTACGAAAGCATTACAAAAAAAGCTTGGTTTCAACAAAAGAACTGTCGTGGAAAAATGGACACATACTAGTTTCTCCTAACATTTCCCCCTAACATTCTTTCCTACCTAGGTCTTGGGAATTGAGGCGGTGCGGAAGGCTCTGGAGAGGGAGTTGAACCACGTCATCTCCTTTGACGGTTCCTACGTCAACTACCGCCATTTGTCTCTGCTTTGTGACACCATGACCTCCCGCGGTCATCTGATGGCCATCACGCGTCACGGCATCAATCGTCAAGACACAGGACCGCTCATGAAGTGTTCCTTTGAGGAAACGGTAAATAAACTGCACTCTACTATGTCTATCCACTGATTGGAGAGAAAAAAAAGGACCACTTTAAGGACGCTCCATGTCTCTGTCTTCAGGTGGATGTGTTGATGGAGGCGTCCTCCCACGCTGAGAACGACCCCATGAAGGGTGTGTCGGAGAACATCATGCTCGGCCAGCTGGCCCCATGTGGGACAGGATGCTTCGATTTGCTGTTGGATGCGGAGAAGTGTAAATACGGCATGGAGATCCCTACAAACATTCCTGGCATCAGCGTGGCTGGACGTGAGTACAGAGAGTTTGAGCTATAATGCAGAACGGTTTCTATCGAGTAGGAGCTATGATATTTACATTCTGTTCCCGTCCTATTTGCAGCCACTGGAATGTTCTTTGGCACGGTGCCGAGTCCCATGAGCGGTATGTCGCCTGCCATGACCCCCTGGAACACAGGAGCGACACCCGCCTACGGAGCCTGGTCCCCCAGCGTCGGTGAGTGGACCCCCGGGCTGTTGTCTCTTATTTTTTTGTGTTTTGGATTTCTTTTTCTGAATTTTGCCCTTTTGTGTTGTTCCTCCAGGAAGCGGCATGACCCCCGGAGCGGCAGGTTTCTCTCCCAGCGCGGCGTCAGACGCCAGTGGCTTCTCTCCCGGCTACTCCCCCGCCTGGTCTCCCACTCCTGGCTCTCCGGGGTCTCCAGGACCTGCCAGCCCCTACATCCCATCTCCAGGTGAGACACTGCAGAACACACAGGTTGCAGGGAATTGTTGAACATTTTTGCTTCATTCAATATTTAGTTTTCTACATAATAACACAACTGTTTGATTGGATCCTTTGATCTTAATCATTTTGTGAAATCTAATGTTTCAAATTTGTCTTAAGAAATGAGCTTTCACTCATTATTAAAAAAACAAATCAAATGCTGAAACTTATCTTAAAATATTTCTAAACTTTTGGAAATATATATCTAGTATTATTTTTGCATTTAAGTAAAAAAAACTTGCTAAATATTGATCTTAACCGTAACTATAGAAACAGCCCTCACAGTACGTAATAACCGGATCAGTATTTGTTGACACATTAGTAGGACTTCACAAAAACAAACAACGCTTTGTTAAAGTATTTGTTTTTCCTCCCTCAGGTGGAGCCATGTCACCCAACTACTCCCCCACCTCCCCCGCGTACGAGCCTCGCCGCTCGATGTCGGGCTGTAGCGGGTTATGTGGGGCGGTGAGAGGGTCATGAGGGGGTGGAGAGGGAGAATGAGAGGTTGTAGCGGGAGGAATGAGGGGATGGAAGGGGGTTGATGTGGGGCTGGTCGGGTTGATGAGGGGTGGAAAGGGGAGCATGAGGGTGGAGAAGGCAGGATGAGCGGAGGCTCAGGAGCAAGTGGGAGTCAGAGGGTGGATGTGGGGTTCGAGGGGGAGTATGTCGGGGTCGAGGGAGGATGAGGGGGTGGAGGGGTTTTATATGGGGTGGAGGGGGAGCATGTCGGGGTCGAGGCCCAATGTGGGGGTGGAGAGGTTTCATGAGAGGGTGGAGCGGCTTCATGAGGGGTTGTAGCGGCTTCATGAGAGGATGAAGCGGGTGGATGAGGGGCTGCTGAGGTTTTATGTCGGGGTGGAGAGGATGGATGAGGGGATGGAGGGGGTGCATGTGGGGATGGTCGGGGTTTATGAGGGGTTGGAGAGGATGAATGAGAGGGTGAAGTGGGTTCATGAGTGGGTGCAGAGGATGCATGAGCGGCTGATCAGGGTTTCCGAGGTGCATGAGGGGGTGGAGAGGCCCGATGTCGGGGTGCAGCGGGTGGATGTCGGGCCGGTAGTCGGGGCTGCTGTCGCTGCTCCTCTTGTTGACTCCCCTCCTCCTCTTCCCCCCCGCGGACTTCTTTGAGTGGAGTACCCCCTGTGAACTTCCTGTCGTGGGGCAGTGGACTTCCTGTCGTGGAAATTGGTCGACCTCCACTGTCACGAAGACCTGTGTCCTACAGGGCTAACCCCGCTTTAGACAAATACGAGGTAGATTCTGGGCGGGGGAAATGGTGTACAAATTTGATAATACACTTCTGAACTGACGAGACGGACTTCCTTTCTTTTTTCCGACGGAACAACTTTTTCAAAAAATAAAAATAAAGGGTGCCCCACAGCCACGTTTGGGTTCTCCCTTACTGTTCCTCTCCTCCTACACCACTTGTGTATGGCCCCCCTCCTTCACAGGGAAAAATTGAAATATCACATGACGTAGGTCAGAGAGAGAGTAAGAGATTTTTGTAGCCCACATAATCAACACCCTTCGCATGTATAACGGTTTTCGGAAAAACTTTTCACCTAACATAAGTAGTGATTTTTCTTTTTTTTGTTCCTTCCTTCCTAATCTGAAACAAATGACGTATGAAGTGGTGCCACATAAAACAATCTGGGAAAACGACGAAAACATTTTCATATCAACGACGGTCAAAACCCCCAAAATACGTTGTTTTCACCTCGTAATCCACAATTTTACCAACCCAGTCATTGACCTCTCCACCCATCACCGCTACAGCCGACCATCGAACGACCAGCCGCTCATGCCTTCCTCCACCTCATTCTGCCCTCCACTCATTTCTACCTCTCCAACGCTCTTACTCTCTCCACCTCATCTTCCTTCACCTCATCGAACCACTGCACCCGACATCGAGCCGCTGCAGCCCGATATCGACCCACTCCACCTCCATCCTCCGCCTACAACCTCATTCTGCCTCCACCTCATCCTCCTCCTGCACCTTTATCCTCCTCTGCCCTCTCATCTGCTCTCAGCCTCAATTGACCCCCTCCACCCCCTCAAATCCCTCCTCTACACCCGACTCACGACCAACCTCATTCTCCTCTGACCCTCTCAATCCTCCCTCCACCCCCTCATCGGCCCCGAGACCTCCACAGGGGANCACCTCCCCCTCGTACAGCCCCAGCTCCCCGGAGTACACCCCCACCTCTCCAAAGTACTCTCCCACCTCGCCGAAGTACTCCCCAACATCGCCGAAGTACTCTCCTACTTCGCCCACCTACTCCCCGACGACTCCAAAATACAGCCCCACCTCTCCTACCTACTCCCCTACCTCCCCCACGTACACCCCTACCAGCCCCAAATACTCCCCAACCTCTCCTACTTACTCTCCCACTTCACCCAAGTACTCACCCACGTCTCCTACGTACTCGCCGACTAGTCCCAAAGGCTCCACGTACTCCCCCACCTCTCCGGGCTACAGCCCCACGTCGCCCACCTACAGCCCGGCCATCAGCCCCGACGACAGCGACGAGGAGAACAACTGAGGGGAGGAGGAGAAGGGGGGGCGCCTGAAGAAACTCACCTCATGGGGGACACTTGAAGGACAGCACCCCGTCACCTGAAGGACAGCACCTTTAACCAGCTGGAGGTGACAGTGCTTCTGGACACAGGATGTCCCGATTGGGGCGAAATCTGTTTATGCTCCATCTAAGACCCGCCCCCTTTACCACATGTTTAAACTATTATGTGAAGACTTGACTGCTCTGCCTGAAGGAAAGAAAAAAGGCTGCCTTGTTGAAAAAGTTTTTTATTTTTATTTCCCACGGGGTGTCGGTGCAAACCCAAGAGGGAATGACAAGGAGAGGAGGATGTGGTGAACACATACCGGGGGGAGGAAGTGTCCCTTTTTAACTTTATAGTGTACTGCATCCAGTCTCTCTCTCATTCTCTAAAAACATCGGGTGTATTAGTTGTGGGAAGCGTACATATTGCCAAAAGCCTTTTTGAAAAGTGGATTGTATTCATCACTAAAAAGAAAAAAAACAAGGAAGGAAGGATTAGACTTTGTTTACTGCATACTTCACCACGGTGTATTTTGTTAGACCCTTTTGCTGCTTTTGTAAAAGTATAGTTGCTGCCAGTTTTGGGGGTTTTATGCAACAAAAGTGGAGCATTAGGTGTTAAAATGGTTGGGTCAGATTGTCCAAAGAAGAAAGTTGGATTGGAGAGAGAAACTGGCTTGCAGGGAAAAAGAAATGTCTCTTGAACATCACTACTACATAACTGTATGTACCCATTGCCCTCTCCTCCTTCTCCTTCACACCCCCAAAGACAAAAACTGAAAGATGTCATGAAAACACCCACCAGCATCCTCTTGTCCTCTACCATTTTTGGAGACTTGTGCATCGAAAGCAAAAAAACAACAACTTTTCAAGATACTATTCCCTTGACACTGGGAATTAAAAGATTTATATGGAAACAAAATAATAGAATGATTATTCTGTCTTTAATTTTGATTCTAGGAGGAAATGGGGCTCGCGTGGACGAGGGAAAAGTAGTGTGGCGTTGCTGCTTTGTCATTGTTTGCATGAGTAGCACATGTTAATACATTTTAATCAAACTTTAGGTTTAAAATGTGTTCAAATCCCTCCCACTTCTCGCTAATCTTCGTCCCATTTCTGATAGCTGATGTGTACACAGGATTATTTGAACTATTCAATATTATTTAAGAAAGACAGTTTACTATTCTGTGTGAATATGAATGGAGGAAAACTAAGAATCTTTTTTTTTGGCTTTTTCTCTTGTTTTGCTTTTGGTGACTTTGTAAACCTGTTTGCAGGAGGCTCGTGTTCCTATGCTGTGGATGAAGGGGCAGGGGACGGAGGGGAGGCTTTTTATTTGTTAGTGTCGTCCCTGTTCTTTCTCCAAACAGTTTGATTTTGTTGCTGTTACGGCGACTGCTCTAGTCACTAACATGTTGCATGATGTCACCATTTTGTGACGGAGGCTAAAAGTTTGGGGTTTTTACTTCTCGGGAGGCCAGAGGGCAACATTTGTCCTCCATTTTGTTGGCCTTTGGAACAGTTTATTCTCTTTTTAAGCAGAGATTGTCAAAAGAAACAGCACTTTTGGGCTCTGTAAAAAAAACACACAAAAACAACAACCTTACCCACTACATTAGTGTGAACTTTCTTTTTGAATATAGGTGCTTTCTCACATGATTCAACTCGGTTCGACTGTGTTAGGGAACCGTCTCTACGCCCCGATGATGATAATGGAAACCTTTTTTTCCTCCTCCTCCCCACGGTTTCTGAAATTATCAGACTTAGATGGGTCCCCTCCCTCTTCATCCACAAGTGATCCTCATTTCTGAAATCAGTGTTTCTTTTTTTCTACCTGTGTATGTACCTGTGAAGAGGGGAAATCATGGGGAAGGGGGACGTGATGAATCTGACTGGGAGTCCTGAGGAGATAAAACACAGCCAGTAATCTTTTTGGTTCTGAGAATGTTAAAATTAGTTGTCATGATTTTTGAAACTTTGCTGCCAAGATGGGTCTTGAATTGAAATGACTGCGTCTTCTGGCCTTTTGAGATAAAGCAGGTTTGGTAATTGCACTTAGTAAATATTGTGGTGGACCGAAGCCCCAGACATTGTGATATTTGTTTCCACTGTTTGCATCTAATCCTGTTGTCTTAACTGTGCCGTCCATTTCAATTCAGGGCATCGGGGCTCCCAGGTGGTATGAATGTGTGTGTGAGTGTGTGAGGGCGAGACAGGGTTTCAAACTGAGGAAAGACTTCACATGTCTGGGCAAAGGAAGGTTTAACTTGAAATTGCCGCTGTATAGAAATCAATTCATTATCTCATTCTCTGTATCTTTGTTCTGTTTGTTTTTTGACTTGGAAAAAATGAATAAAAGTTTTACTACATGTCTGTCTTTTTTTTTATTGAGTAATGCATTTCACAATATGTAGGGCAAAGAGAACATTGCATTTAGTAAGTAACGAAACAAAGTACAATATATTAAAGCTTTTTTTAATCGGGCTACTAATTTGCTTATTCAAGGCCAGTTTAATCCAGCATTTTTGTAAATGGGTCAAAGTATTTACACATGCTAAACAAATTTAAGACATTATTACAAAAAAAACAACATTTTAGATTTAATTTTAGTATCCAATTGTTAAAATATGTAGATGAATTCACTCATCAATGAGCAGTTTGCTTAAACTTCAATTCATCTGAAAATAATTTCTACAACAGCTTAATACAACACTCTTTAAAGTGATACTTACTCATGATGGCTACTATACCGTTTCATGATTTAAAGTAAGTTATCCTGTACTTTAATGAACGTTAAGATTTAGGCCCTAATTATGTACAGTTGCTGTGCTATATTGTTTGTTTTATTTATTTATTTGATCGTTTATTTAGCAGGGACAATGCACATCAATGAACACTTAAAACAATAAAATGTGTCAAGCGTAAATATGCCAGATTTAGCTTTGAGCTCATTTCCATTCGCATAAAACATTTAAGAAAATGACATTTTACAAACATAGCAAATACATGATATGCAAAAAGTGCAAAAGAGCAAGAGCAGCATATACAAGTTATTATCACATGGTAATACAATCTAGCAGCAACGACATGTAAAGTGCAAGAGAAGATACAAGACATAAAGTGCGAGAGGAGATACCCTTGTGTTAAAGTGCATTTAGCGCTGATTGCACGTCTGTTTGTTTCTCAACCATTCTTTGGGTTGACATTTGAGCTATTGAGAGTGGGATAATCCCGTATCTCAGTTGGGAGGCTATTCCAGAATGAGCTGCCCTTAACGGAGAGGACATTTTGTCCAAAAGTGGTCCGTCTGCGGTGGACTTCACAGTCTCCTCTGGTTTCTGACCTAGTGCAGCGTCCAGTGTGTTTTTTGTGGATGAATGGGGCCAGTCCATGTAAACATTTATAAATAAAGCACATACTTTTAAAAGACTTAAAATTGTCAAAACTCAAGAAATTGTGTTTTTCAAGAATGGTACAGTGGTGGTATGAATAAGGCTTTCTGTCAAAAACCTTGATAGCTCTCTTGTACAGCTGTTCTATGGGTTTCAGGTTTGTGGCACAAGCAAACGACCAGTTTGTAAAACAGTATTCAATGTGGGATAGCATCATACAGTGGAGGTATGATTTTGCAGCATTGACAGTTAAGAAGGGTCTAATTTGTTTAACATTTTGCAAGTTGAATTTGATACTTTCTTAATGTGTTTCTTAAAAGTCAAGTTCAAGTCCAGTATGACTCCAAGATACTTGAACTGGGAGACTAGTTCTATTTCTGCTCCGTTTAAAAACACGTTGGATCCTTCGATTTTGACTGGTCGTTTACTGAACATCATGCATAGGCCTACTGTTTTATTTTTACGTTTATCTGCAAGCAAATGTTGGTCAGCCAGTGTTGAACCATGTCCAATGCATTTGAGAGATAAAATGAGATTATTTCAGTGTTTTTCCCGTGTATAAAGAGATGACCGCATCATCGACATGCATTTGCACATTCAACTCAGGACATATATTAGACAAGTCATTAATGTACAGAGAAAACAGTAACGGTCCAAGAATGGAACCTTGTGGACCCCCAACAGGGTTCACAAGGTAGGGGGATTTGGCACAGTTGACCAAAACACACTGTTTTCTGTTCGATAAGTAGCCTAAGACTTGAACCAATACTGAAACTGCCGACATTTTTTTGAAATAAGTCAGCTTTGTAAGGAGCACTTGGTGGTCAACAGAGTCAAAAGCCTTCCTGAGATCAAGGAAGACAGCACCTACATATGGGCTTGTGTCCAACATACATTTAACCTTTTCCACAAAGACAAAGTCAGCTGTCTCAGTGGAGTGATGAGCACGAAAACCAAACTGCATTGGGTGGAGTGGAGTGAAACCTTTATCTGATTTGGTGATTAGTTTTGACACCCATTTCTCAGCTATCTTAGACTTAGAGACACAGGGGAGGATGCTGATAGGTCTATAATTGGACATCATTGCCTTATCCCCAGATTTAAAGATCGGTGTCACCGTGGCTCCAGGATGATGGAACTTCCCTCGTGCTGATAGATTGATTCACTAGCATAGTAATTGGTTTTATTAGACCGTCGATATTAGTCTTTATAAAGTTGGTGTCGAAATCATATGCATCCCTAGCCTTAGAACCTCTTAACCCTGAGATTATATATTTTACCTCAACCTCTGTGATTTCCTCTAGGTCAAAAAACGGGGTGTGTATCCACAGTCGGGCTAGGTGAGACCTCAGATGGCGGGAAGAGCTTTGTAAGCTTTGTGCAGAGCGCTATTTATGAAATACTCATTGAGAGAGCTGACCAACAACACTGCAGGGTCTTTTATCAGGGCATCATTAATTTTTAATTCTAGAACCATATTTTCCTGTTTGGTATACGTTTACCTAATAGTTTATTTAAGATTTCTCAAACGTTTTTACCGTTACCTTTCGTACCTTCAATTATATTGATGAAAAAGTCAATGGTATAAATGCTCCTTATCCAACTCAAACTAGTTGTGCATGCTGATAACGAACAGTCCTCTGTTATGGCGCAGTGTATTGAGGCAACAGATCTTAATGAGCCCAGATGGGAAACACCTGTGTGCCGGTAAACCACGTGATCTGGTTCCTCTCAATGGGAGCTAACACGCTCTATCCGCAGGGGGGCGCTCTCTTCCCGCTGTAATCATGCTAGACATTTATGTATGGCTAGTAGCAACGGTAGCAACCTAAATCTGGTTTATTTTGACCACTGCAGGCAAGCTTGTTAGATAATTTAAGCCAAATATCGTTTAATGTTCCTCTTAAATATTTAGTAAGTTGGTGTGATTAGGATTTAAGTTTAATTTTTAATATACCAAATAACTAAGACACCTAAGTCACCATACACCTAGCTAGCTCAAGCTAAATGACTAGTGTACACATTACACTTTTATCTAATACCTTACATTTAGTTCAGTTGTGCTTACAGATCTATCTTATATATGCACATACCAAAATGAAATATTTTTGCTATTTTTGGAAGTAAAATGTGTATTATTTGCCTTCCAAAAATAGCAAAAGCTTTGGTGTCTTTTTATATTTTTTTGAGCTTCATCTCCACTGTTTTGAACGTCTCTCTCCTGCACACCTAGCTATCAAGTGGACAGAGGACTATTTGATGATGGGTCACAGAAACGTTAGAGCTGGACATGTACGTGTATTTGTTTCCCCAGAAGAGGCCACTCAAAGGCTGACAAATTACGCTGTAGGCTACCACTGACAAACACAATCGGTTTCACACAGTTTTTCAGTTTGGAGTCTCATGATTCATTTGTATGCACATTTTCCTAAAATCCTATGCTATCTTTGGAAACTTTGGGAGCATAACTAAGTTTGGTGCATCTGAACAATGTTTAGCTGCCCAATACGAGATGACTGACTTAGTGTCAAATAAATGTTTTATAAGAAAAAAGCTACATGGCCTGTCGACTGCAAGTAATACGTCTACATAACAACTCTAGTGACCCTTATCATTGCGTTATATGATACATTTTATTGTTTGCTCAAAAGCTTGTTTTTCCTCACTACATGTTTAATTCTACCTCACTTAAAACTTTAACTGAACTTATCTATTGTCATTTAGTTGATTCCGTGATACTAAGCATGTTTAAATTCCAGTCCGACAGTGAACTTTCCTCTACTGAAAGCCAATCTTTACCTGTGAGAACCAGTTTCACTGTGTCAGAAAATGATCTCAGTTTGCTCTTCGTTGCCTACACACTTGGGCGTGTTTGTGTAGGGGATTCCATGTATATGACTGCTAGGTGTGTTTGGATCAGTTACTGCGGCGATATGTACCAACTGTGGAGATGTTGAGTCATTATTGAGAGGGTGGATTTTACAAAGAGAGTTTCTTTTAAAAAGGGAATGAGCTTTGTCATTTAGTGTTTTTGTAACATTTTTGTACTGCTTTAATAAAGAAAGGATTAAGAAAGTGTAATTGAATAAAAGTATTAATCACGTTGAAAAGTTGCTGTTTAATGAGATAAACATTGATTTGATCAAATAAGCTTACTTTGCTTTTTCTCTTAACACTTAAAGTCCTGATTGAATCAAGTTTCTGAACTTAATGCTTTCTTTTGTGGTTGAGTCAGAGGGCTGGGCTTAGACTGCCAGACAGAGGCAGGGAATCCCTGCGTGTGTGTGTGTGTGTGTGTGTGTGCGTGTGCGTGTGCGTGTGTGACACAGAGGGAAGGAATGTGTGTTTTCGAAACGTATTTCTCCTTGTATTTCTCTCCCTTCTCTGCTCAGACGTGTTCTGTCCCACCACCAACTCACGCTCAAAGGTACGTTTTAGCTCACCCATTCTTTTTGCTCTTCGATCCTGTCAGATTTTCTCTTTGTATTTTTGCTTTGTTTTCCTGCTTTTACCCATTTGTCCTCCCATACACTCTCTCTTTCCCTGTCTCATCACATTCCTCTCCTGAAATCAGCTGAGGACTTTCACAGTGGGACAATGAATCTTTAGTTGAGCTTCAGCGAGACTCAAATGTCTCTGATATCAATCTTTTTGCATATTCTCTGCTCCACCTTTATGTTATCAGTGAGGAAAACCCAGCCTATAATTTTCTTCCCTCCCTGTCTCACTTCCTGAACATAATTCTGGTGCTTTTTGCAAGAACTTCCTTGAAGTTAGGGCGGGGTATCAAAGTGGTAACAGCCTCAGATCTGGAAAATGTGTTAGAAAAAAAAGTTAGCTTGACATTTAAACGGCAAAATGTCCCTACATAAAATGTCCCTACATCTGTAAAAGAATGTTTTGATATTCATATACTCTGGTCCTTTCAATGTCTCCTCATATACATCAGCATGTCTTGATTTCAGTCTCATATAATACAGGACACACACACACACACACACACACACACACACACACACACACACACACACACACACACACACACACACACACACACACACACACACACACCCACACACACTCATTGTATACACTCGGCTTCAATTGACAGATTGCTCTCAGATCTCTCCTCGCCTGCTGCTCTGTCCGCCTGCATATTGTCGCTCTCATATTTCTGCCTGGTTATCGACGCATGACTGACTGAGTCAGTGACCCCTGTAGCATATCGGTGACCTCCACCTAAACCCCTCTGATCTCCATGTCTCTTTTTACCACTGACCACAGAAGCCACGGCCTAAAGGGCTATCTTTCTGTCCGAGATTGGACGCTTTTTATAACAGGAATGCACCTATCTTGCTTTTTGATGAATAACCAGATATTTCTCCATTTTGCATCTGCGTCTTTGCACAAAATGAACAGGGCTTTACTTCTTGATCAGGGAGGCGTATCATTTATCACGTGCTTTTACAAATAGAAAGCCCTTGTACACTTTAACAATCTGAATCCGTGGGAGAGAAACTCCTTCTGGAGGGAACTTTAGGATAATAGCCTTTGCAGACCATTAATATGCACTTATTAGGGAGCCCTACAAGTCCTTGCCTTGCGTGGGAAGGAAACTGTGAGATGTTTAAACTTCCATTTGTACCTGTTGCTTTCTTTGTTTCCCATTGCATAGTATAAGTGAATAGAAGGCAAAGGGTTAAAAAGAAAGCTGGAAGAAAAGGGAACAGTGGAAACATGGAGGAGCATCTTGCTCTCCCAGTAATTATCCACTTGGTGTTTAGCTTTAGCCAGAAAGCAGGAACCCGACTCTGCTTCCCCCCCACGTAGCGTCCTATCCGCAGGCCGCAGGTAAGCTTTCATCACACCGGCTCCAGTTACCTCCTTCATATAAGCTAACCAGGCCAGGTGAGCGCAAACACTCCTCAGTTCCCTACATCCTCACACACCGGGTCACACACACCCCAGTGGACACGCAGAATGGAGCCCGAGTTAGACAGCATGCCGGAGGTACCAGAGGAGATCTTACAGTTAAGTGGAACGGGGCCTTTCTTTGGCATCCTTACTCACTCTCGGAGCGGCTGTCCAAGCATTGTAACCCTAACTCAGGGTCCTGCGTGTGCTGCCTCTGGCCCTTTTTCTGTTTCCATCGCTGCCTTACCTCCACCACTCTACAAATGTATCTGTTCTCTTTAACTTGCTTGTTGTGGTCATCAAACCGCACCTGTCTAATGATTACAGTTTATGTAAAAGAGATGTAAATGCTGATAATATCAAGAGAGGAGAGTCAATAAACTGTCATCCAAACTGAAAGAAACTTAAAGGGGCGTAGCTGCTGCTTCCTTAAATGCTTGACTGACCACAATTCTGAAGTAGAGATAATATTTCCCTTGTTTCCCCTGCCTAATGAGGCCTTTTTTTGGCAGTAGTATTTTACCTGTTGGATCAGTGTCCTCGGTTGACTCTAATCACTCTTGCTAATTGCTTTTTAATCTTCTCATATCAGTCATGATTGTTTCCTGGAGTCAGTCTCAGTATCAGCCAAATCGAAAGATAAACTGCAGAGTTACATAATTGTTTTCTAGGGACAATGAGACAACATTTACTACTGCCAGTGTAGTAAATGCTTCGCCCATATTTAATTGGTTTATTTTTGCACTGCGATACTAATATCAATGTTATTGGGAGATATAGCGACTGCCATAAAGCTGCAGCGCCCTATCAGAAGAGAGGAAACTGGATGTGAGATGGGTTTGATAGGGCTTCAAATGTGTGTGTTGTCAAGCAGGAAAGGCCTTTTGATTATCAGTAGAAGCACACAACTACAAATAAAATACACTTTTATATTGTTTCATACTGGACTTCTACAAAACATACTTATCATGCACAACACATATAAACTACTCTACCTAATAACTCCGTTCTTAGCCCAGCCTTAGTTATGTAACAATTAGCACTTTTTTGTGTTGCTCTGGGATGTGTTTTTTGTATTTGTCCACCCCATCACTCAGTTAACCTTTTGTTAAGGTGTTGTGTTGATTAAAGGGTTTGAACATGTTTTCTTACCTAAAAATGATGAAATTACCAAGCAGTGATTGTATCTCACTCTATGCAAAGTAAAAAGAACAGACTCGCTACAAACCTGACTTCCTTTCAGCGGTTTAAAATATAGCAGGGAGAACAAACAGGATGTGGGTTTGGTTTATACTTATTCCTTTCTGACAGGGTGGGTTAAAATACAATACCGAGAAGAGGGTATATATCAAAGTGACTCAACCCAAATCTAGATAATTCTCCTCCAAGGCATGATGTAGCATGCATAAAGCCCCACCTTTGTAACACTATACCTTTTGGTTTTTAGTAAAGCCTGTTTGGTCTTGTGTTTCATAGAAAGGGACGTCATAGCCTGTGGTTTTTAAGCAGCATCACAACCGCACATTTTGTGTCAAGCCCAAGTGTAAGGGCGCTTATCATGTCAACCACACTCTCTCTTTATGCCCTATAAGGGAGTGGTGTTTGAAAGTGTCTGTAAAACTTCAGTTGGCGTGAAGAACCGTACATTTCTGTAAACATCTGCCCCTAACTTCAAATATTGTCTGATCATGACACCTTTTGAAGTTCCTCCATTTGTCACCTGCTTGTGATCTTGACTTCTGCTTTTACTTCTCTATCCATTTCCCTTGAGGAACAGTGACACAACTCTATGAACACTTCCTGTTTCAAGCGGCCCCTGAGTGTGACTCACCCATTGTGGATCATATCTACCACTCTTTCTGTCGGAGTCAGTCCACACTATTTTCTGCCCTCTCTACGGCAAAGTTTGTCCTCTCTACCTTTGTCTCATCATGACTTTCTTCCCCAATCGCAGCATGCTCCCCTTCATGGCAGCGCCAGGCCAGTTTGGTGCGGAGGTCCGGGAGGAGGGCCTCAAAGTGTGGAGGGTGGAGAAGATGAAGGCAGTGCTGCTGGACCCCTCCGAGGTGGGAGCCTTTTACAACGGGGACTCCTATCTAGTGCTGGAGAACCGCGGGCAGCTGGGAGCAGACCTCCACATGTGGATAGGTGAGAGGCAAACATCTGGGTATACTCTGAGTGTCTGTAAATCACAACACAGCAGGGTTATTGAGCATGCATCTATGCAATCTGACTTAAGTTCAATGTATTATTAACATGCACATACACATTTTAGTGAGTGATGAATAGAAGCAGGCACAATACTATCTGCATACTGATAATATAGTATTAGTATATAGTATAGTATATAGTAACTGCATTGATTTATATAATGTACATTTAATCTAATCTTCTTATGCCTTTCTGGCATTTCACCACATTTAAGCATATTATTGTTTGTATACTGTTTTATATACAGTATTGTAGTATAAACGTTGTTTACAGTTCTAGAAGTATTGTGCAAATTAAAAAAATATATATAATTTCTTCACATATTTCTATTCCAAAAGGAAGGAAGCTGTATTGTATCCTAATTTCCCTGCGGAGATCAAACATGTATTTCTTAATCAGATTTCCTAAGAGCAATACAAACTTGGAAAATAAACCAAATACGAGCTAAATATATATCCTAAAGAGGAAGATGGAAAGATGTACGAGACACAAGAAGAGAAGTGATCATATCATTCAACAAATAAAAGACAAGAGGAACAACTGAAAAGAGATTATTTAACAAAAAACAATCTAATCCAATCCAATCTAATGAAATAAGAACTAATAAGACCTTTTTCAGTTCATGAAGTGCTCTCCATGTTGATTTGTCGTCAGTTAATCAAATACCCTTGCTGATCAATTGAAACACACAAGTTATTTTGGTCTTCAGAAAGCCAGGAGAGACTCATGCTCAGACCTTTTAGGATAACATGTGTAGCCTTGTCTCGACAAAGCGGTATATTGTTTTCTATTTGCCTGTTGACCATTGTCCAGTGCTGTGCTTACCACACTCCTAAACCTGGCCCTGTGCTGCGGGTGAAAAGCGAAATAACCCCCCCGCTGATGGTGATGACACACGAGACACAGCGCTGACCTGCTGCAGCATTGTGTGCGGAGAGAGGGAGGATTAGAGGGGGAGAAAGAGAGGCAGAAGTCCTGAGGGAAACTGGGATAGGCTTTGGAGCGAAGGCCCATGAAAGATGCACGAGGCCTGTGTTACAGCACTCAAATGTTGCGGTTGTTTCCAGCATGTATCCGGTGCTTAGGTAACACTAAGCTGATTGTCCCGAAGCCTCCCTCCTCCTCCTCTTGTTTACAATTGATGACCCCGGTGTTGTCTTTGTGCCACACTCTGTTTGCTTTTGTCTCCATGACCCATCACCTCTGTCAGCAGCCCTTTGTTCCTCACATGGTGACATCCTCACCTTTCTGACCTCATTTCCTAATGCTCTCTTTCCCTCATGTGATCTCACTGCTTCTGTTTTCCTTCCTTCCTCTATTTCCATCAGTCTTTCCTGCAACTCTTATGTTTGCCTTCACCTTATTGTGTATCTGATGTTTGGTTTGACAACATGATCAGAACTGAAAACTAGCACTTGTAAGACTAATTGTAAATGTTGGCTTAAAAGTTAAGCGTGAAAGTTTGAATTATTGACCATGGAAAAATAGACAGACAAAACCCTCCCGTCTCAAGGTCTTCTTTTCATTTCCTAGATTTTCTAGGGCTTTTAAATGTATCATATTGTGGCTTTGTTCAAGTGTCCATTTATTTATTTATATTTTGTCTAAAGCTCTTCAATAGTGTTTTAATTGTCAGAGTTTATAGATTTTTCTTCTTCACGCACTACTGTATATTTTCAACTTTTTAATGCTGCTTTAATTCTATTTTGAGATGTTTAAATTCTAGTATTGTCTATTTCTACTCTTTAATTTCTACTTATGTGCAATGCCTTGTTTTGTTGTTTTTTATGCTGCTGCAATTTGGGAACAATAAAGTACCTCTTATCTTATCTTATTTATCCAAGAAGGAATTAAACACAAACAAACGAAACAAAACCTAATGAAAGGTTATCGACCCAAATGTGGCCTTCAAGTGTCATGCATAAGAAATGGATGTCTATGTTCTGTTGCATTTCTTTTAAAACTTAAAGTGTCTCTTTGGTTCTTAGCGTTTTTTGAGCTTCATGTTTTATTTATTTCCTCTGACAGGTGAGCAGTCATCTCGGGATGAGCAGGTGGCGTGTGCCATGCTGGCCACTCAGCTGGACAACTTCCTGAGCGGAGACCCCGTCCAGCACAGACACGTGCAGGGCTACGAGACCCCCGAGTTCATGGCGCTGTTCCCCAGAGGGGTCAGCTACAAGGTGAGGGAGGGACATACCTGAGTGCGAGTTCAGATGCTTTAAATGCCATTGAAATGTGAGAGAATTATATAAATATCTCCTTTGTCAGCAAAACAAATGCGCAGTGCAAGTGGTTTATTGTATGGGTAAGATTTCTGGTAGGAAAGATATCATTTGGTATAACTTATAGGTTCAATGTTAGTTTCCCTTAAAAGATATACTGGAAATATATATTCATTTATTATTCATTTCAATATTACAGCATATGCTATAGACAGAAAAGGGCATTTAGACAAGGGGAACAAATCATATTTTGAAAGGCACTCGTAAATTAAATTAAATAAATATATAATTAAAAAAAATAGAAATGTAATTCTTAGTATAATGTATTTTCAATTGTAAGCTTGCCTATAGTTAATTCTAACATTTACTTTTGCTCAAAAAGCTTAAACTTTGATACTTTAAACGTATACTTGATTTGCTTGCAATGTAAATTAAACGATAATCTAAATGTATTTTTTAAATAATAAGTAATAAACTAGATGCAAGACATATTATATCCATAATTTGTTTTACTACTGGATGGATTATTATTTTACAGCACCCTGGATATCATGGCCTCTGTGCCAAAGTTCATTCATGCCCTTTGATTTTCCCGGGCACCAAGTCGAGCTTGTTAAAACCAAAGAGGATGTTAAAGCAGACATTTCCCAGCAGGACGAAACATACAAAACAGATATAAAAACCTTGATGCATTTTTAAATGAGTATCCCATGAACCTCTGTGCAGACGGGCGGTGTGGACTCGGGCTTCAGGAGGGCTCAGGGCTCCGGCACGGTGCAGAGGTTGTACCAGATCAAGGGGAAACGCAACATCCGAGCCAGGGAGGTGGAGCTGTCCTGGAGCAGCTTCAACAAAGGGGACTGCTTCATCCTGGACCTTGGGGAGGTGAGGACACAAACTTTCAAACAAGCTGCCAGAGAACAAACAACAAATATCAGCTTTCATAACCAGGAAGACCTCAAGACCTCATTTCATTTCATGATTTCGTTGCCCTCCAGATCATTGTGTCGTGGATCGGCTCTCAGGCCAACATGTTCGAGAAGCAGAAGGTGCGTGAGATCGCCTCGCTGATCCGAGACACGGAGAGACACGGTAAAGCCAAAATCATGGACAGCAACGAGGGGGAGGAGCCAGAGGAGATGCTCAAGGTATCTGCACACTTTTATCATGCATGTCACTCATAGAGGAGGCCATTTAAAGGTCACCTATTATGCAACATTCACTTTTTAATTTATTCTGAAAGTTTCAGGAAAAAAGATTCGCTCACTTTTTGTCCTGAATAATTTATATAAAAACCTGTCTGAAAATGAGCTGATCAGATTTTGGCCACTTAATGATGTTATAACGATTTTTTGGCTTGAGTAACCATTAGCCAATCACCAACCAAGGTAACCCCCCCCCCCATACCTTATCACCTGAATCTCCTCCTAGAGCACCATTGTGTTCTCTTTAACCAAATATCTCTCAGAGGGGCGTGGGGAGGGGCTCCTTATTTCCATCTAAAGTAACAGACAGAGAATCAGCACTTTTGAAACAGAGGGGATTATGGGATGCTGCAATGATCTGTTTGGTGTTTGGAGCAAAACACTTCAGAGACATGTTTTGTCCGAAACCTATAATATATTGATGAAAAACAGTATAATAGGAGACCTTGAAAAGCATGCAAAGGAAGTTCTGGGGTTACTCCTGAAAAAGACTGTTGGATCTTCTTGGTTTCTGAGCTTCCTTTCTTGTTGCCGGGCAGGTTCTGGGAAAGATGCCCCAGCTGGCAGAGAGCACACCAGAAGAGGACAGCAAAGCAGACGCTTCCAACTCTGCCTCCCTCTACAAGGTACCTTCATAGCTTTGTACCTGCACTCATACTTCAAACTACCTGTTGTTTACATGTTAGTGTAACACTGTATATGTCACTCCACAGGTGTCTGATGCCACAGGATCCATGACGATGACCAAAGTGTCAGAGAAAAGCCCGTTTGCCAAGGATCTGCTGGTTCGTGATGACTGCTTCATTCTGGATAACGGCGCCAACGGGAAGATCTTCGTCTGGAAAGGTGAGAAAATACTGCTTTACCCCCGAACCAGCAAATGCACCCATGCCAGTGATGTGCGCTATCTAATTAAATCAGATTTTAGTTTAGCATTGAGGAAAAAATGTGAGCAAAAGCATTTTTTAAGAGCATCAGCATTATTTAAAGTCTGACTACAGCTCTATACTGTCCCCAGTGCAGTGCAGGGTGTACAACCCCTAAAACAAAGCCGCTGTCTCTTCTGATATCTGGATACAACCATATCTCTTACATCAATGATTAACATAAAACTTTTTAAGAGTTTATTTCCTGGTACAGAATTTAATTTCAATGCAAAAAAACTTTTCAGGTAAGCCTGGCAGAGTGGACAAGCTTAAGACAACATTTACATCTCTTTGTTGGGAAAGTAAATGTACAATAACAGTCAAATCATTGAAAGAAATTCAGAGTTTTGAGTTATGGTCATATGATTGGTCCCTACGACTCATGTCCTCTTATTATATCAAGAAGTCATTGGAAACAGCCCTGGTAGAGCTGCTGGTTGTATTTCACTTCTATTTAGCTAGTTTGAAACTATGTGGGAACTACTTTTTATATAATATTATTGCCCCTAGTAAAACATTTTACTTAAAATTTCTGATATCTTCTCTTGTGGACACCAGGAGAAACTGAAAACGTACTACTATAACAGATATTGAAGATGAACAAACAGACTAAATTGTGCATGTATGATCCAGCTTTGGGCAATATGGTATACAATCTCTATGAATGCTGCTCCTAATCTGAGTCATTGATTGACTTTCAGGTAAAGGAGCAAATGCTGAGGAGAAGCAGTCGGCCCTAAAGATGGCGGATAACTTCATCGAACAAATGAAGTACCCCAGGAAAACTCAGGTACGCTCATAGTTGACAGTTCACAGCTTTTAGAATGTTGTTGAGATGGATTGTTTACAGACTCAGTACACAGGGACTTTATCAGATATACAATAAGCAGTGAACGTGTCTGCAGGTGGAGATTCTGCCCCAGGGGAAGGAGACCATCATCTTCAAGCAGTTCTTCAAGAACTGGAACTAAAATGTGACTCATCCTGCGCACGAGAAGAAGACGCCGTACATCTGAAAACCGACGGCATCTGATACAAAATACTTTTTTTATATACAATGACCCGATGTACATATTTGTAAGGTACCGAGCACACTGTAGCTCGTTTTGAAATAGTTAGAAAAGAGATGTAATGCCACTTTTATAAATGCAAAGTCTATTCTGTTAGAGATAAAGATTATAAAGTCAGAGGTTTTTTTTTACGATGCTCGAGTGTCACAGATTTGCCTGCATTTGACAAATAAAACTTGAACTGCTTGCTACTTGTAGAGAGTGGTTTTTATTTCTTTGTCATCATTTTGTTTTGGCCAAGCCTCGGACCATGACAGGTTTTGTATAACGTTGTTTAATTGATCCCCTCACTGTTCCCATGTCTGTGTGACTATTACCGGCACACAATAACCCAGTGTGATGGCATCACACTCATCGTCAAGTGTAATCAATGGTGGAATTAGCCCATAATATGAACTCAAATGCTACACTTATGTAAAGGGTTGAGGTCATTTAACTTTGAATGTGTTGCTACAGTATGGCATCAGTTTATACGATATGATGTTCTGCTTTATTTAATTCTTCATAAGTTAGTATATTAGGAGTTTTATGCATCAGTAATAACACTATATCTTATATACTCAGGGACGATCTATCTACAGTACGACAACTTTAAGAGTTATACTTATATTCAAAACAATTTCACAACTGTGCAAACACTGCTTTTGTTTCTAGGAGCAGATCCTAGCATTCAGAAACAGGACAATAAACGGTCTATTCTATACTTTTGAATGCAGGACTTACTTACTTATTTAACTTAGTATTTTACAGTGTTTTTCTGCTACTTCTACAAAAGTATAATATATAAACTCTTCTGTGATTTCTGACGGTTATTTTTACTTTGACTGAGCCTTTACTCATATACAGACTTGACACTGAAGGCAATAAATGTCGTTGTGATGTATTTAGGGCGTATTAAGCTAATGACTAACGGTCAAAAAGTCAGTGGGCTGATGTAGTGTAGGACCTTGACGCAATGCGTTTCACTCTTACGACTCTTCCAGTAGTTTATGAGGAAGTGAATGGATGACTAGGCAAAAGGTAGGATTCTGATTTGAGGCCTTCACGCAGCGTAACGTTTTGTTATTTGACCGTGTTATGGTAGTTTATGTTGGAGGGGAATAAGGACTGATTACAGTTCATCAAAACAGATTTAAACAATTATCTCCAAGCCTTGATATAGTGTTTCAATGCTAATACATGCAGTTATAACTGTCATGTAATTGTGTGCTGCAAAATATTGGAAATATTACAGAGGTGTAAAGTAACCAAGTACATTTAAGTACAATGTTGAGATACTTTACATGAGTATTTCTGTACTTTGTACTTCTACTCCACTACATTTCAGAAGTAAAATCGTGTGTTTTTACTCCACTACATTTACTTTGTACCTTTAGTTATTTTGCCATTTGGATTAATGATTTGAATTATAATCAAGTCATTAAAACTAGCTGCACCTTTACCAGCTTTGATGCATTTATAATTATAATCAAAACATATCATATATATTATTCTGAAATGGACCAAGCTGAAATGATTACTTTTACTTTTGGGACTTTAATAATATTTGATGCTAATACTTTGTACTTTTACTTTAGGAACATTTTGAATGCAGGACTTTTACTTGTAGCATAGTATTCCTACACTCTAGTACTTCTACTTTTACTCAAGTACAAGATCTGAGTACTTCTTCCACCTCTGTATAAATCCAGTTCAGAATAAAACACCTTAGTTTTTTAGCTAAATGTTTTATGTAGTTTAAACAGTGTTTCGTGTCTATTATGAGTTCATTTATTTTTGCCAATTTTACCCAAGCAGCCACTATATGGAAAACACCTTTACTGTTACAATCTTGTTTATAGGCGTGTGATGCAGTGGGTTGTGCGTTTGTGCTGGTTCAAACCCCACTGCAGTCAGCATGTCGTTGTGTCCCTGGGCAAGACACTTCACCCCAAATTGCTCCTGTGGGGATTGCCCACAGTATTGAGTATGTAAGTTGCTTTGGATAAAAGTGTCTAACACAGGGGTGTCAAACTCAAGGCCCGGGGGCCAAATCCGGCCCGTGACTTCATTTTCTGTGGCCCCACAAGAGCTTGCAAAGAATATTATATGTTTATTATACGGTTACATGATGATTTACAGAAGCACGTTGCCCATAAACTACATGGCCCACAATGCATCTCAAATTAGACTTTTTTTCTTCGAAATATGCATTTTTTCTTAGAATGTGCCCTTTTCTCAGAATTTGACTCTTTTTTTTTAAATGTCACTTCTTTTCTTTAATTTAGACTTTTTATCCAGAATTTGGCTTTTCTTTTTAAATCATTTTGTGACATTCTCACTGAAGAGACTTTCAATTATTTGCCCCAGACTTCTGCTTTCAGACGTAGTTAATTATGAAGTTATTACCCTATCTGATAATAATCCAATGCAGAGGCAATAATGTCATATAATACATTATTTTATATATATATTTATATATGTATTCTTATATAGTCTTAAAGTTACAACCGGCCCTTTGAGTGCAGCCCTAATGCTGATGTGGCCCGCGATTGAATTGAGTTTGACACCCCCTCTAACAAGTGACATGTAATGTAATGTAATGTATACCTATTTACAGTAACACCTAGCAGAATCCCTGCTGTGCGTCACTGAGTGATATGCAGAGACTTACAGCGGTCATTAAACCTCACGCCTTCCTCCAGCGGCTGCCGAGAAGCATGAGGGTTTCTGTCAGAGGTTTCCTCGCCACCTCAGAGGGAGTAATAAAAAAGGTCCATAGGTCAGAACGAGCAGAGAAACAAATACTCAGCGGGTTAGAGAGCAGCGTCTGTCCAGAGATCTCCACCAGCAGAGCTGCACCACCCTCCTCCTCTACAGGTAGGACACAAAGAATATCAGAGCTTAATACGATATACTGTACATGTCTATGGTACAGGTGTGTGGGGCTGAAACATTTAGACTGTATTTATGGTATCTTACACCATTTTAGAAAATATATTTTGCATTGTAGTTCAAAATGTACGTATGTGCTGAATATAGATTGAATTATGATGTTATTTTAAACATGAGAAACATTTTCTTTCTTTCCAGATTAAAACTCAAGCATCACTGATTTGAGTATAAATTAATGACTTATATTAATAAATATTTTTGGTAGGTGTCTCTTATCATGAAAAGCATTATTATCTTATAAAAAAAAATTGTTTCACATTTCCACAAAACTTATCTTTTCATTGTTTTTGAGGTTTTCTTTTAAAAAATAATGTATATCTGGAATAATAATAAAACATCCATGTTATATTGCCATAACTAAACTACACAATAGTCTGTCAAATTGTTAAATTAGTTCTCAAAGAGTATTTAACTAATATAATATTCAATAATATAATACCAACCATTTTACCTTTGACACATAATGCAAGTATTTATTTATACAGCTGCTTTTTACATCCCTGGTTCCCCAACCATTTGTTTTCCTCTGCTAGAGAAGATAGGACGCCACCATGGAGATGACTATTCTGAAACCTGCTAAAAGTATGTATAAATCCATTTTCAATCACTGCCAATTGCATTTGTCCTGCTTCATGCATGTTAAAACAACTTTCGTCTGATGTGGCTGGAAAATGCAGCTTACATCCAATCAGATAAAGGCATTAAAGTATGTCCTTCATGATTAAAAGCCTTTAATCGTGGCTGCTAAAGCTTCAAGCTAATAATCACAAAGGCTAATAATTGCAGTTTCATTATTGCAAGTATCAATACTCTGCTGATATGCTCACTTTGTTGGAAAAATAACAACATTTTCCTGATAGATTTGAATGAGACTCAAATTATGTTTCCTCCTGAATGTATCAGTTTTTTTTATTACTGCACATATTTTATTCCATTCTATGTCAATTTAAATACTGCTATATTTTACAATATATTTTGTTATGTCATTATAGTTTCCTTAACATAGTTTTCTATCTGTGTTTTACAGTTTAGTTTTACCTTTATGTACGCACCACAGCACCAAATCAGATTCCTTGTGCGTGTCAACCTACCTGGTAATAAACCTGTTTCTGACTCTGATTCTGAATCCCTGCAGGAGTGGGCATACTGAAGGGGGGCGAGAGGAACACCCAGAGCAGCTCCATTGGGGCCGTGCGCTGGAACCTGCCCGAGGAGGACGTGCAGATCCACAGCTCGGCCCCGAGCAGAGCCGCCATCAACCTCACTCACCGCTCACAGGTACATGGAAACTGCTTTTTCATTTATTCACTTTTTCTGTGAATTCCGTTTTGGTTTACATTCTTTTAAACCATACCCTGTTGTGTTTTCCTGCAGCAACACCCTCGTCAGAACAGCCTGAAGGATCTGCGCAGCCTGCAGGAGTGTGTGCAGTTCATCCATCACTGGAAGGAGCAAGTGGACAAAGTCTGCAAGGTAGGACATCAGGGAAGGAAGGAAGGAGATGTGAGTCAGTGTCTCAGCAGACTCATATTATTGTCTTCAATAGCAAAGAACAATCTGACAACAGAAAAGAGGGTAGACTTAAGGGAACAGGAGAAGGAAATAATATATTTTTTATTTCTAAACATTCATTTCCTCATAATGTTGACTCTGGTTGTTTGCCAGCTCAGTAAAACATGGCTTTGATTTGGACAGTAAAAATGACTGCTGATTATCTCAGTCTGTTAAAAGTTCATGAACCTGTTTTTATGACCAAAACAGATGAGTGTTGCCGTGGGAAACATTTACCTGGTCACGCAGATAGATGAGTAAGTTGAATGGGTGGATGCTACCTGTTTATGATGCCCGGTTATCTGCCTCGCCGTGCTGAGTCACAGATAGAGGGTTTATTTAACTGTAACCTTTCTGTTTAGACATCCGTAAAAGGGAAAATGTCCCACGTGTGTGCTTTTTTTTAAACGTCATCTTATAGTCATAGTGTCAGAATCAGAATAAGAAAATGAGTTCCCAAAAGTTGCTCTATTCTAGAATAAAATATATTAATATAAACATAAGGAGTTTAAATAAAACGCAATGAGAAAAGAAAAATAGATTAAATATTGATATTAACATAAGAAGTACAAATGTGCAAGTATATAACAATAACTCTGTAAAATGACTGATAAAGATATGAATGAATTGTTTTTTGAAATATTCACTGTAATACATAAATAATCTTAAATCTTATTAGTATTTTACAGTCGAGTAATTGCACAGGTAACATTGTGTTTTTAAGAGTGTGTGTTGCTGTGTTGCAGCAGGGCGGGGGGGATCCACACGAGGGTCCCAGTGATAAAGAAGCCCCGAGTGCAGACAGCCGTACTGAGCGCAGCCTGGAGGAGAGTATGAAGCTGATCCTGGAGTGGGCCGACGAGCTGCACCATGTCGACAAGGTCAGAACATGACAACAAAAATACTATTCTGTTTTGTTTTTTTGGAACAGCTATGGTTGTGAAGGAAATATCAATGTTAACTTACTGATTTTGTGTCCTCAGTTCCTGAAGGAGATGCCCTCGGCGTTGGAGAGTGAAGAAAATAAGAAGGATTTCAAGGAGGAGCCACAGATGAGGATCATGGAGTGGGCGAAGGAGCTGCAGACAGCCACTGAGGTGAGGGACATTAAACCAGAAGAAAGTCCCAAAATAACTTGTAGAAAGGTTTTTAGTGTCTGTTAATCTCAACATAAACGACCTACCAAGTGCATCTCAGTTGGGAATTGTAAGCGCATGAAGGGAAATGACTTAGTTTTACTCTCTTTACAGTAGGCAGCAGGGCCGGCCCTAGGCACTGGCGAACTAGCCGGTCGCCTAGGGCGCCAGATCTGGAGGGGCGCTGCAATGGAGAAAAAAATTAATAATGAATACATTTTTAATTTGTATTCTGCCTAATTTTCTGCC